TGATATATAGAATTACCTCTATATAAAAATAGTTAATATGAAACTCATTTACATCAGATCTACTATGGAACCCAAAAATTATAGCACCATTAGAAGTATTTTGAAGAAGGGACAAGGTGAAAAAATTGCACCTTACATTTTCAAAATAAATAATACTCAGACACTAGAAACTTATCTAAGAAGGAATTAATTATGAAATTTACCAAGAAGAAAGAAAAATAATAAATGTTGGAAAAAGAAAGCATCATGATGATGCATTATTACCCAATAAAAAGCCAAGATCTCTAGAAGAAAAATAATAGGAACAAATTTATTATCCATTTTATCAATGAGTAACTAGATTTCTAAAACCAATACTAATGTTCCACCAACCATGATTCAAACTGTTCTCTTTCATGATTGAACACTGATTTTTTTTTTTTTTTTTTGTAAAACTTTTTTATAATAATAAAGTTTATATAAATAAAAAATCATGAGCAAAAAAGAATGTTTTAATTGTCACAATATAAAAGAAGGTTTAGAAATTAATTGATGGGATGAAGAAGATAGAGAACATAAAGAATTCTGTTGTTGAGATTGTTCTGAAAACATAATTCAAAAAGAATTAGATGAATGTGCAAAATGAGAACGCAATAAGAAAAAGATCTTTTGAGAAACCTTAACTAAAGTTAAAAATAAAGAAAATTTTGATTGACCTTTTAGGTACAGAGTTATTAACCAAAAAGGGGATGGGAGATGAAACAGAATTACCATATGTTGTAATCAGTGTAAGATCATGTTGGACTGAGATGTTACTGTTTATGAAGATAGTAGAGGACATAAATGTTCTCAATGTCGTAATTGCCAAGAAGATATTAAAAGAGGTTAACAAGATAAGCATTTTTCCTGAAAAGATGACAACACTCCCAGTTACATTTGTCCCAAAAGCACAGCAAAGGGTGAAATAGTTTGTCATATGTGTGACAAAATGGTAACACATAAAAAAGGAATGCTTAAAACTTGAATCTCTGATTTTGGAGGCACCATAACCTCTGGAGTAGTTTTAAGACAAAATTCTAAAGGTCATGCAGCACTGTGCACCAAACGCCATGCAGAAAACTTCAAAGAAATAACTAGAGAAGAATGAGCAGATATTTTACCAGTACTTAAAGATACAATTAATAAAATCAATAAAGAATATAATCCAATAGGCTATAAAGTAAGTGTACCAATAGGGCCACTTGCTTCCCAAAACCCACCCCATTTTTATATGCGAATTGTTCCTAAATATAAAGAAGCTTATGGAAGTAGGGGAATTAAAGGAGTATCATGAAAAGCTTTTTCTCAGGAGGGCACTGAACAAGCAAATACAATCTTTCAACCAACAGAAGATAATATTGTTGCAGAAAAGAGCAAAGTATCTGCAAGATTACACAATGAAATAGGAGGTATAGTTGTCTTCACCAAAAATCATTTACCTAATGATATCAATGCTGTAGATCAAGAAACTTGAGATCAAATTGGTGAAGTTTGTCAAGAACTTATACAAAAAATGGCATCTGCTGAAAATTTTACTACTGATGCAGTAATAAGATGAGAAATTAACCAAAAAGCTGCAGAAATTTTGATAAAAGAATCAGAAATGCCTTCAAGTTATAGTGACAATTATCCCCCATCTGAATTTTCAGTATACTTCGCTCCTAGATTCAAGTTAAGAAAATTTTGAAGACATTACAGACCTGTAAAAGACAATCAATTTCTAGGTACTATGGAAGATGAAAGAATGGCTGAAAAAATAAGAGATCCAGAGGCTTATTATAGAAAATGGAATGAAACTCCTAGAGTTGAATTAGAAAACCAACTTAATAATAATAAAAGAGAGAAAGTTTACTGAATGGTTGGTTGTGGAATACTATTGTTCCTCCTAGTTATTTTGGTTATTAAAATAGTGAAGATTAAGAAACATAAGAGTTAATTATGCCATCTAATACTTTTTTATTTAGTACAAAAATTATTCAATTACATTTTATGCTGGCTTGGGACAAGTGATGTCTTTAAACTCATCCTTTACAAATGGGAGAATGTTATTATAAAGGTATTCTTGTCTTTTATAGTCCAAAGGAGGAGGTGTTAACACTAAAATAGATAAAGCTTTAATCTCTTCAAAAATATCTGCTTTCTTGATTTTCAATAAATTGAATTCAGTAAAGGTCCATTAGCAACTTCTTGAACTTTCACTGTACCAAAATTAGATGATTCAAAAAGAAAATGTTGATACTTTTGTAAACCATTTAGTTTCTTAAAATAAATTCCCAAAATAGCTTAAGATCTAAATATTGAAAACCTTTTCCACCTTCATAACACTGAGCTTTATTAATCCTGCTGGACTAGACCTTTTTATCACTTCAACTACATGGCCCAGACAATCTATTCTTGTTCTTCTATAGAGTTTTTTAATCATGCCAAAACTACCATCACATTTAAATTTGGTATGTCCAGGAACCATAAAGTTCAATTCAACACTTTCATAATAACCACAAATTACTAAATATAAATAGAAACAAATTGTTACATTATTTTTATTTTGTCCACCAGCATTATCACAAGTAATCTTTAAATGTTTTTCACCTTTATTCAATTTTTTAATTCCATCAAAAATCATGCTAAGGGTTCCGTTAGGACCTTTACCTATGATTTCATCTTCATTAAGAACATAATTGATTTGTTCCCTTACTGCTTCATCTTGAATACCAAATAAATGAACCTTACATGGGCTAAGATAATAGATTTTACTTACCTGTTGATCTGAATGTGGAACATGGACATTTTGGGCTCAATCATAACTATAATGAGCAGTGGCATCAATACTGCAATATGGTGATTTACCCTTTGAATAATTTTGATTAATCAATTTTCTTTGTTCTTCAGCTAATTTAGTATTTTTATTGTAATAGTTTCTTTCTAATCTTGCCTTGGACAGATGTTCTTTGAATCTTTTGAGCAGATCTTTGGCTTCTTCCTCTTGGCGAGCATTTTAATGTAAACCATTTCGAAAATGTTGACAAGTATCACACAAGTCAGTCCTTGGACTCATAATTTGAATTTCTGGTGTCAATTGATGTCACAACTTTCTGAATGCATCATATTTTAAGGATTTCAAATTACTATCTTCTTCCAGACCAGCCAGAAAATCTCTGTGCACAGATTTATAGCTCATTTCAGCTGGTAAGAATGTAATTGATTGAGTTATTCTATTTATACTTCTCCCTGGACTTGGTAATCCATGAACTTCTGAATGATTTTCTAGAAAAATCTTTACAATTTCAGCAACATTTTTGTCAATCACCATTTTAGTTTTCCATTGAGGCATTCTTTTAATATTACCATGAATTCTTGGTAAAAGACTATTGTTTATCAAATGGCTTCTAATATTTTCAAAGTAAGTTCTACCAATTCCCAACATATTGAGATAAGTTTCTTGACAAAGAGGTGTATTGTGATCCCAATGGTAGAAAGTTCTTTTATTAGATCTGGTTTCTTCTTAAGGCATCTACTACTGCTTATTGACCAACCATCCATGGCTTTAAGTTGGGCCATTAAAAATATGTTTTGTTCTACTTTAGAAAGAGCTTGAAAAGATTCCCTTAATTCAGCAAATTCTTCTTTGGGAATTCTTGAAGAGCAACCACAATTACAACCTTTTTTTAAAATATTGATTGCCTTTTCATATTCATTGGAACTATTATACTTATTACTTTTGTTAATACTTTTCATATAAACTTATCCATATATATATAATTTATGTTCACTTTGTAGGTTTTTTACAATAAAATGTTTAATAAAACACAAAGCTTAGATATTTTGTTGCTTTATTAATTATTTGGATAATTTTTATTCGCTTATTTAAAAATAATTAAAAGATGTGATGCAAGTGCTAAAAAATTCTCTGGTAAGTTCAGTATATATGAATGTAAGTGCACTAAAAAATTCTAATATTTTAAGCAGCTGGTTTGGTTAGCCAAGATATTATTTAAACTATTTTCAAAATATTCTAACCATTTATCCAAAGGGTACCACTAGATATTTTAAAAAGTTAATTTTGTAACAAAAAAAATAATGTAATAAATAAAATAAAATAGATCAATTACCTTTTTAAACATTTCTTTAATCTTTTCAAGAGCATCAGATGCTGATGGTCGTCTATTTAAATCATCTTCACATAGTTTTGATGCTAGATTGGAAAGATCTGTTGGGATGTTGTGGTATGTTGCTTGAAAATATTAAATGTCCAACACTCCATAGGTCAACTTTTTCATCATGATTACCCCTCAACATTTCAGGCGCATGTCATTTTCCTTGAGCTGATTTAAAGCTACTTGTGGAGCAAATTCAGCAAATTCAAAATCAATTAAAATATATATTTCATTATGCAAAATTATGTTTGGCCATCTGATGTCTCTATGCATTAATGGATAAGGCTTTATATTGTGTAAACCCTATTGAGTATTAAAAGCATTAGATGTAAATTTACACATACAACACATCTATGTAAAAACTAGAAGACATCTTGCTTTAATGCAAGTTAATATACAAGTTAATGCTCTTAACAGTCCATTAAAATCTGATGGTTTCCTTTCATCTCCACAAGGCTTTAAATGTACACTTTTACCATGTGAAGCAAATAATTCATCAACACATCTGATTTCATTGTCCTATAAATATTAATATAGTTTTTAGAAAGGATTTTACTCTAAAACAGAAAAAAAAATATAGACTTACTTTCAGTATCTTGTAAATATGTTTTAAGTGATTAGCATCTTGTTCTTTAAGAAATATTTTCTTAACTGTGTAACCAATTTCAACCACATTTCCATTTAATCTATTTAACACCTGAAACTCAGGGTTATCTCTTTTGGGGCATAGATCCAATATCATTGGTAATAATCGACCTAAAAACAATGAAATAAGTCAGCATTTTAAAAATAGTTTAAAGTCACTGAGAGCACTTACATATGTTTCTAATGTAAAACATTGCATTAATTCTATCTGATAACCTATTTAAATCAAATACATCAAGGCTTTCACTGTGTATTTTAGTTCATGGTTGTTTCTGGAATGATGTGTGGAGGATTTGTATAAAATAGCAAATGTGACAAGAGCACCTTTTGCATAATATCCAAAAATGTAGGGGGCATCACCATAATTCCAAGTTTCAAAATTTTTCAATCAATTCATCTTCTGGCTTTCCTCTATCCCCTCTTGGCTTTTCTTCACCACGGACAAGACAAAGATTTTCCAGTAACATAATAAAATCGGGTCGGCATAGACCTAAAAAAAATATTATTATTATTATTATTATCTATTCTAATTATTGTAAATAAAAAATTGCAATTATTCACCTTTTAAAAAAATAAAATTTACCTGAACATGTATTATTGTTGGTATTACAATCAAACTCCATTGACTTCAAGTTTATGCCAAATATTTCAAAGGACTTTTTAATCACATCATCCCAGAAGCTGTGGTATGAGTCTTCAGTTTCACCAGTTTTATGAAGACTAATTATACCAGATAACAAATCTACAAAAAAAGATGTGCAACTTTTGAAATTATCAGGGAAAAAATATTGGTCACATTCAGTTTCATTTATTTTGAAGGGACCAACTGTAGGAATTGAATTAAAGAGGGAATAGATAAGTGGTATTTTGACATTTGGTGGATCTTTAAGAAATTGTTTAAGATTGTATCTATCAGGTAATTCATTAGGGCTTTTGAGCAGTTCTTGTAATATTTCATCAGAAACATCTATAAAATGATAACAATAATTCAGAAAATAACAAATAGGTAAATATTAATATATCAAAAAGATGTATGAAAGACTCTGTCTTTCCTTTAATCCCAAATATAAAGGAGGAAACAACAATTATTAACAAAAGGTTTACATACCTTTTGCCAGAATGTTCATTGCCACTAATACATGTTGTATAATAGAGAATATGAAAAGAAAAAATTTCAATTCAGTAATAGATAGTGATGAATAAACAAGTTTGTCAGTTAATATTGCAAACAGTATACCTCAAACATTTAAATAAATAAACAAAATGAATGAGTGGAAAATAATTTTTTGTATATTTTTTTATGCAATTTGTTCATTACCTTTCCCTCCACGTAACATTTCTTCATACAACGCCCACCTACTTCCTTTTCTTTTTTCAACCCCTCCTTTTCTTTCTTCAACTTGTTCTTTTGCTCTTCCTGCCTCGTCTTCTCTTCACCATTCCACTTCCCCTCCATCAACTCATCTTCTAACTTGTTCAGCTTCTTTCCAATTTCTTCTTCTCACTTCTCCAATTTCTTCTTAACCTCTTCATACTCTTTATATGTAATATTTTTATCATTTTCAATTCCTTCCATAGTTGCCATCTGTAAAGTTCAGAAAATTTAAAAATTATTTATTTTTATTGATTTAGATCGTAATAGCATGATGGAAGTTTGATTTCATTGGCTAAATTTGTGATGATCCCCCTTCAAGATATCACATAAAAATTAATTTTTATTGGCTTGAAGATCATTGCACAATTTGAAATTTCATGGATTCAGGTTGATCTCGGGCGAATACCAAAATTATTGTTAAAAATTCCACATTTAATAAAAAAATTCTATAAAAGAGAAAGAAATTCTGTAAAATTTCAAAAATTTAAATTATAAAATAAATTTAAATCAAATAAAAATTCTAAATAATAACAATGCCTAAAAATGCTCAAAATAAAGGTCCTTGTGCAATAATTGATTGTCAGAGTATTATTGATACTGATAGATTTAGAACAATTACTGATATTGCATTGGAAAAGTTGCAAGAACATCCAGATTATACAAATTTTAATTGATTCTCATAAAAATGAATCATTTGTAAATGCCTTTTCAAATACTAAAAGATATCCTTATACCATGTCAACCTTAAGCTATTTAAAAAAAACAAGTTGCTTCTTAATAGAATATTTTTCATCAATTTATGAAAATTTAAATTGCAGTCAACCAATCTTCAATAATAAATATAAATTAACAAAATATAAACTCTGCACACTAAATAAAACAGTAGATATAAAATTACTTCCCTCTGGATATCATACAGTACATGTTCCAAAAGCAGATGAATGCGACCATTGTAATGATAAATTTGATCCAAATTTTCCTGAGTATAATGGGGATGTATTAGTCTGTGGTCATAGTTACCATTATGGCTGCTTTGAAATATTAGAAAAAAGTTGTGGGCATTGTACAGAGTTTTATAAAAAGGGTATATTTGATAATGTTAATTCTTATCTAAAAAGGTTAGAAAAAGGTGAAGATATATTAATGGTAGATGAATTAGAAAATGAACATGAAAATAACAATGAAAATGATGAAAATAATAATGATCAAGAATCAATTGAAAATCTAAATATAGATGAAGAAATTATTGGTAGAATGCTTACAAATGCTAAAATGGAGTTAAATATTGGTAAAGTTATTTGTAATTATATATTTGTAATAAATCAATATTTATTAATATTAAAATTGCTTGTAATTATCTATTTGTAATGAATCAATATTTATTAATATGATATAAAATTATTTGTAATTATGTATTTGTAATGAATCAATATTTATTAACATGATATCTAATAAAATTATTTGTAATTATATATTTGTAATAAATCAATATTTATTAATATTAAAATTGTTTGTAATTATATATTTGTAATAAATCAATATTTATTAATATTAAATTGTTTGTAATTATATATTTGTAGTGAATCAATATTTATTGACATGATATCTAATAAAATTATTTGTAATTATATATTTGTAATGAATCAATATTTATTAACATGATATCTAATAAAATTATTTTTAATTATATATTTGTAATGAATCAATATTTATTAACATGGTATCTAATAAAATTATTTGTAATAGTTATTAATATGATATCTAATAAATTATTTGTAATTATATATTTTGTAATTATATACTTGTAATAGATCAATAGTTTATTAATATGTAATAAATTATTATTAAATAAAAAAAGTAAATTCTACAATTTAACAATCTCATATATAATACCATAGAAAAACACCTTATTAGTAAAGCTCCTCAGATATTAACAACTGCTGGATGACAGAAGTTTCAACAATAATCTACACTTGGTTTCACACTTAAAAGTAAAGCTTACTTGATAATTTTAATAGAAAAAAAATTTTCTTTAGTTAAGTGAAAGTTACTATTTAAATTCCTTTGCCTCTAGTAAAGGTCTATGTGTATTGACCTCTGCTGGATGACAAAAGTAGAAACTACATATTTTTTTTATTTTGCATTTAACCACGAAGTTTATTTAAAAATTATTATGTAAATAATTTTTTTGCCAATTGTAAACGTGACTTTACATATACAAATCTATTTTAAAATTATTTTGTTACACAGTATAATTTCAAGATCGTCACTATGGGACAAATGTGATAAAGAGAAATTCCATCATGCTTGGAAGGACAGCATAATGGACATCCTTATAATTGGTGATGATTTTCGTTGATCATATTTTGATTTTATCACGCAAAAAAACAAATTTGATTGGCCCAAATAAATTACACAAAATTTTAAAGAAAAATTTTATTTTTTAATAAAACTTCAGATAATAAATTCTTGTGTGTATCTTGCTAACCCAACATTTAACCAATTATAAAAAAGTGTGCAAGTTTTATCAAGTATATATTGGAAGCAAATTTTTATTTATCTTATTTGAGGCGTGGACAATAGAAACAAGGCCAACATCTATCAATCATAAATAACGTTTTTTATTAGTGTGTACTTATCTAATATGTAAAAAATAAAAAAAATAATACATTTACGACTACCTTTTGTGTCTCAAGTCAATCATACAGCATCCATGTATAAATAACGTTTTTTATTAGTGTATTTATTATCACCCCAATATGTAATAAATAATATGTACTAGCACAATTACCTTTATATCTAAAGAAATAAATGAAAAAGAATAAGTATTAATTTTTGCGCACCTTGGTAAAAAATATGTATACTTTTTGGAATTTTTACCTCTTATTTAGATCTTGCAATTTGCTAGATTAACTGGGTTATTTTTAACCAAGCAAAGCTTTCAAAGGAAGGTATGTTCTTGCAAAACATTCTTTGTTGTTGCAATGCATTTTAGTCATGTTACTTATGACCCACTATTACTATGCTACTATTATTATGTTATTCATCTTAAAAATTCTGTTTCTCATCTAGTTTTTGATAGGACCAAGATCTGAGGATCTTATTTTGCTCAAACATAAAGAAAAGAATAAACAACTTATCAATATAAAAAAATAATATGCAAGGTGCATTAGTTTTTTTGTACCGATATTCCTCTTTTTTTCTTACTTTAAAATAATTGAAAATTTCTGTTTCACAATATAAAAAAGATTGACGTTCAATTTTGTCACTTTGTGATAAATAGGATGTCCATTATGCTTGGAAGGACTACATATTGATGTTCAAGTAGCTCAATATAAAATCGCCAGAGGAGGAAGCTATATAAAGACCCCTAAAAAGCCTGCTAATACAAAGGGAACAATAAATCCTGATAATAGTGAAACAAAAGATAATGAACATCTCAAGCATGCAATATCAGCTTTTAATGCACATAGAATTTCAAAAGGTAAGTTAGAGCATTGGAAAGATTATCTGTTCTAAGACCATATAAATATCATGTTAACTTTGGTGATATTCTGGATGGAAAGCCAGTCCCAGTTAGCAATCACATATTCAAAAAACTTGAAAAACTAAATCCTGACTATTATTTCAATGTAAATGACTGGGATGATAAATCAGGTATGCAATCTCTTATAATTTCAAAAAATTATACAAGAAAATACAAGGTTAATCTTCTAGTCCTCAATGAAAAATCTATAGGTGGAAAGGAAAAAATGCATTATTTATGGATTAAGAATCCAAATAAGCTTATATTCACAAATACAAACCATAAAGGTAAGAAGCATTTATGTACCCGAGGTGGGGAATACTCCACATCAGAAAAAACACTTAGAAAGCACCAAAAGTATTGCCATGGTCATACAGATGTGCCTCAATTTACAGAGCTTCCAGAAAAAGGTAAAAATGATAAATTAAGTTTCAAAAAATGGAAGCATATGATGAGAGCCCCTTGTGTAATATATTCAGATTTTGGATCATATAACAAGAAATGTCCAGATGGAGCAGTATACAGGGGGCAAATTAAAAAATTAACCAAGAATGTTCCTAACAGCTATCATATTATAGTAAAATGGAGTGATGGGGAAATATGGTCAAATGAATATCCTTATAGAGGGGAAAACCCCACAGAAAATTTATTAAAGAGCTAGAAAATCAATATGATGATATTAAAGATAAGCTCTCAGGCAACATAGATAGCAGAAGCCTTACAACTTTTTTCTTGCATATTAACATCAAGTAAATATGTATTTTTTTCAATGATTCATGTTTGAGGTAGGTAACTCCAGAAGTATTATATATAAAATATGGAAATTATATACCCCAGTTTACGAATTTGTCAATTATTTCAAACTTAAGTCAAGATAATATTGTTTATGTAATTGTTGAAATTTTAGACACTCTGGCTTTGCTAAAAATAAATAGCAGAGTTTTGTTTATTTCAATATTTTTTGATAATCTATCTACATAATCAATCAGATAATCACTATGTCTGTGAGATTTAAATAATTTAATGCATAAAACAACCAAATTTATAAGGGTTGTTACTGAAAATAGTTTTTTTGTCTGATTTCCTAGTCCAAATCCCATATTTGTTTTTGTCACATTTTACAACCAATAAAATCAAACTCCCTTGAATTTTACATCACTTTTTTTCTAATATTATTAATCATAAAACCCTCCAATTATGTCCGAGGTATTAGAAGACAAATTAAAAAAACTTATTGAGGAGTCGAGAGCTTCTATTAATTGGACTGAAGTAAATAAGTGGATTGCGGTGGGAGAACCATACGAAGAACATGAAGAAATTTTAATGTTTATGAATCAAAATGGAGTTGCTGACTCAAGATCAGATGGTAAGTCTACTTGATTCATGTTCTATTTCATGTATATGTTTGTTCAATAAAGCCGAATTTATTGATTTTTAAGGAGATGGACGAAATGATGCTATCAGAGGAGGAGAATATCCTCATGGAGAAACTTTTTACAGAGATTCCAGGAAGGCTAATCAAAAGGCCGGGACAAAGAGCCATTCTAGAACTTCCACAACCACCAGAAGTAAGAAACATCAACATTGTAATAAAGTTGCTGGATCCAAGCATGTTTCCGATTCAATCGAGAAACACGGAACAAATGTTGAATAATCTGAGTAATTCAAATCTGTTGGATAATGTTATTGGATTAAATGTGAGAGGCAGAGTTAGAAAGTGGAATGACAAAATTGTGACCTGCAGTAAATATTTACGATATTGTTCCAAAAGGATATTCTTCACAGACCATTCTCTTTATTCAAATTTTCTTAATGTTTATTTTACTAATAAACTCGCACTTTAATAAAGATTTTTTATTTTGCTTACATTACCATGCCAATTTTTTCACATGTGGTGGGATTGTGGGTCATTCTTATGATAATTCATTGATCTGTTAATGGAATTTGCCTTTCAACTAAAAAATTCAGGGATCTCAATTTTCATTACTGATCAATGTGGAGGGCTAATCAATGATAGCACGAGAGAATGCATTCTTTGATCTTTATTGTTATAATTCTGCAATTACGTATTAATACCTTTTTTTCTAGCTTTTCTTTGCAGATCCCATAATTCGAACCATTTATGCCAGCTAATATCATAAGTCATCTTTCAGCGACTGTTCCTCATTTCGTTATAACGGCATCAAAAATTCCCTAATCGATACCTTGCATTGTAAAAGGACTTATTTTTATGAGGGCAGAAGCAGGATAAATACTAGTAATTTTTTTGCATTTATATAGTATGATTGATCATGCTGGATCTGAGAATGCAGCAGCGAATCAAAAAGTAATTAAAAGCTATTATGATTTCGGTAAAGCTGTATCAGAATGTCACAATTATTATATACGAGAAAAAAAGAAATGGATACCTGCGGCTCAACGTCTAGTCAAAGAAGAAATCCGTAAGCAAATTCCTATGAAGATAACGGTTGATTTCAAAGTTAAGCTGAGATGACATTGAATATGTGGGTAATAAAGTAAAGCATATTAATATTTATATCGCTTAAAATTTCGTTGTTTAAGCCTTATTGTGCCTCCTGTGACCTCGAGGTCAGTTTTCCCGAAATTTTCATAGAATTAACAATATTTGCATTTGAAAAAAAAATACGAAAATTAATTGCTACATTATTTCTCTTTGGTGCGAACGTGCCAGCTCACGCTGAAAACATAACAAGTCAAATCAGAGAGCGATTTAATGTTATTTGCCTTTAGACATCCACACATCTCTTCATAATCCGAACATCGCCTTTGTATTTTGGGTAACCTTATCTACTGCGATAGATCTATATATTACTCATCAATTATATATCCCGATTTTTGTATTGTAAATATGAGTCAAAGATTCTACGCTCCACGTATTGGAATGGTACAAACTGGTTATTGTTGGTATTGTACAGGATATGTTAAGAATAAAGGAGAAGAGAAGGTTAATCCTGAGCCTCGACAATTCCTTTCCGTGGAAAAGATTCCAGAACATGCAAGAGAATTGCTTACTTGGATTCAAGATGCTATAGCAACCAAAAAGTTACGTGATCCTGTATATGGTGATAATGGAAAATGCAATATCGGAGCATTTAGCAAATTTTTAAAGTCATATGGTATTACTGCCAAAAGATTGAGAAAAATAAGGAGCAAACATGCTTTTAGAGTTCATGTTAGTTGAAATCCAACAGCCCAACATCTTAGTTTACTTTGTAGAATTGCAATGAGACAAAAGATCGACCGTTTTGATTCTGGAACTTATTATGCTGAGGGTGACACCACTTCTGATTTCGATACCAATTCTGAACCCGAACCTAAATCTCAGCCTAAGAATAACAATCTTTTTGAAGGAAGTGCACCATAATCCTTTTGATGTCCAACTTGCGGAAATAGATTCGATGTTAGCAAAAATAAATGTGAAGTAGACTATCCGGATTCATATGCTGTATCCAATGCTGTGATGTGAAAAAAATAGATAGGTATATAGTCATAAAGTGTCTGTGAAGCAATAAGCTAGTATTTCATATGAATAAAAACGTACCTTTTTCAGTATCAATACCGTAATAAAAATGTATTAAAATAAAAGATGTGATTTGATATCACAATTTCTGAAATAAATTTTACTTGTAATGTGCAAAAAATACATATCACTGATAACAGATTCAAAGCTCTGCTTTTTCCACATTCATATATAATTTATTTCGTTAAACATCATGGAATTTAAAATTTGAGATTGTTTGAAAAAAATGATTATTACGCCATAATTACGTTTTGTCCATATTAATATATTAATATACATAAATCTTTACCAAACAACAAAATGTTTACCATATTAATATTAACACTTTTAATCGTTACTTTGTTTGGATACTGGGTACTTTTTAGGTATGTTCATTTACGTCTAATTTATTTTTTTAGCAAAAATTCTTAATTTGAATGTCAATTCAGTAAGAAAATGCCGGACTCACTAAACAGATTCGATAAAGAAACACAAGAAATTATAAGTCAATGGTTTAATAACGCAAATAATAATAATAATGACAACCCTGAAGTAGAATATACTTATATCGATACAATGTTGCTAGTAATAGAGTGGAATGATGCTGGGTTACAAAATCGAAATGTTCAAAAAACCAATGTGGTTGCTAGTATGTATGAAAATATCTTAAAAAGAAATTATTTTTAACTATGTTTCAATTAGTTATTCAAGCATACAACGGCTGTCAACAAGTAAACCCTGACCGAGTATATCACACCGGAAGCACAATTGTGTCCCCATCGCAATCCATCTTTAGTGTCTCCGATACTCGGACCCATTGCAAAATACAAATAGCTGAAGACATCGTAAGTGAACTTAGGGAGTTATATTTTCAAAGAAATCGTGCATCGTTGGGCAGAGTTTACGAAGTACATGCCACCAAAAAAGGCGTGTTCGAAATCAAGGAATATCGTAAAGTGTTTTAAATGTTTAGTGTTATCAAAATTAAACATATTATTTTAATTCTATTACATTTCATGTACATGAAAAAAATTCTTCGCATCAATCATTTTTACTGGATACATACAAATCTGGGTTAATAAAAATCTCTGATAGATCTATATATTTTCCCTAACTCTCGCTGACGATGTGTCGCTTTTTCAATCTCATTACACTTATTAATGTCTAGACATTATATTCATCATTTTATTCTCTAATATACTAATATAAAAGCGGGAAAATACCTGGTCAATATTTTGTAATGATTTAAGATATCGCCTACATTCTTTATTAATAATTTCATTATCTATTTCTTCCGAGATTTTCATGAGAGAATTGAGGTCTTCTTCTGTTTGAACTTGGAACAACTCCATTGTTGTGTGATTATATTCGAAATGGTTATTTATCCAAGGGAGACACCTTCAAAAAGTTATATAATGAGCTAGGCATGTTTGAAAAGTTAATTAAAAGAAAAATCACTATAGAAATGATGAATATTCATAAAATCGCTATACTGCCCTTTTTAAACGTTTTTGTTCATCTCTTTGTACATTAGTAATGACTTGAGTTTGTTGTTTGAGCTCCTCAAAATCGTGTCTTAATTCTGACATTCTCAGCTTCGCATCTGGTGCTCTCTCTAGCCTTGAGCTCATCTTTTTCTTTTGCAGTCTGCTCCAATTCTGCGATTCTAGCCATAAGTTTGGCATTCTCTTGTTAATAAATCTAATTCGGATTGCATGATCGATAATAATTTTTTATATAATAATAAGGCATAGATTTATTCAAAATGTCGTAAAAAATATCACGTGCGTGTGAACTTGTTCGCGCCGATCACTTTTTCAAGGAAAAAAAATCCAGAATTAAAAATATCATAATAATAAAATCAAGAAATAAATATACTGTTATAATAAAAATCCATAATGATAATTTTACCTGTGAAATTAATAATATACCAACAACAGAATCAGAATCAGTGTTTATATAACTACAAATTAATTAAATAATTAATTTTACATAGCAGAGAAAAGACCACAGAGATGACCAATAATAAATAACTTGCCAATCTTCTTCTTCGAGTAAATTTTGATTATTAAAAAAATCATCATTCTTTTCTTTGCTTGAAGCCCCAATTATTTTCAATAAATAAATTATTTTTTCAGCAATATATCATTTTTTTCTTTCAATTAAAGCAAAAGCTTACTTTCATTGGGAAGAACTAAAACCAAAATCGAATTAGACATTAAAATTTTTGTTTAAAAAATTTTTTTGGCCGATAATTTTTGAAGATTTCCGGTAAATATTTCCTAAACCGGGCATTCCCCAGATATTTTTGATCTCACATTTCGCACCCTGGTTGTGAAGATTGTCAAGTGTGGAAACTTAGCCAGATAATATGTACATATAGATAATTAAGATGATATAAATATGTAACAATTATGGTTTCTTGCGAAAACTCCTCTGGAAATCAATTGGCAGAGTTTTGGCAGGTTACACATTAATTGTTTATTAAGTTTTGGCAGAGTTTTGCATTTAAAATTTTGACATGTCACTTTGAAAAGTTAACATAGTAAATTTATTAAACTTGTGCAACTTTGAGGCTTAATTCCCCCACAACAACATGACATATTAACAAAACGAAGATGTAACTTCTAGAGAAAGGTCTTAGCTTCAAAAATTACATCATGTTTTTTTGGTCATGCATCCCACTTTTGGAGGAGTTAAAGGGCCTGCAAGACCAATAAAAGTTGTAGGGACTAGTAAAAAAATCAAATGCTGCGCCTCTTACCAAAAATTTTTTAATGTTGGTGTTCCCTGGTTAAGAAAATTTTTTTCTATTTGAATATTATGAATGAAATCATTAACAATTGGAGAAGTTTTGTTGCCTCCGGGCTTAATTCACTTTGGCAGGGTTTTTGATAAGCCAAAGTGCAATTTTGATAGTTGAATTTAAAATTAAACATGGTTCCATTTTGGAAAAATCCGATTATAATATTTGGATTTTAACAAAATATCTCCATCAAATTAATAAAATCATTTTTAACTAATATAACTAATACTAAATTTGCTTAAAACTTTTATGACACGCTACTAAATTCAAATTCATTCTAATTATTTAGATTTCTAAAAAATATATCCTAATGCGATTTTTTGATGTGTACACAAAAACGGAGATGATGATAATACAATAATAATAATCTAGGGACTACACATGTGAAGCCTATCATTTATAAAATTAAAATTCAAAAATTAATTTGTGGCTGTGGAAAGAAACAGGTTTTCATGGGTCACAAATTTATAAAAAAATCATTATATAAATGAAAATGCGCTCTCTCATCTCTCTCCCTCGAGTTTAACATATGAAACCTTAATTTTCCTGAATAATAAATAATAAGAAAAAACAGCAGATTTGATTAAAATATGGAAACAACTTTAAAAATCTGCAGGGAAAATCATGAGCTTTGACAAGAAATAGTGACACGACGAGTATTCAATTTTTTATTTGCGTTAATAATAAATCATAATAATAAGTTTACTATATATTATAATAGAGAGAGAGAGATACGCTTGTTATAAAGAGAAATTAATAATAGTAAAAGAGAGAGGTTGGCTTTTGCTTAAAGGATCCGTTATAGTCTTTTTTTCGGAACGGCTTGTCCCTCGTTTATATTCCTAACCCTATTATCATTATCAGACCCGTTATATCCCATATTTGAGCCATTATTATTATTTTATAAATCCTGTATACTCAATTATATCATCACATCGGTTATGATATAAATTGTAATTACTGACTAAATACTTAAAGTAATTCTGAAAATTTCTGCAGAATTTTGATTTTTATCACAGTATAGAAAATAAATCGGAATTGTTGTACTTTAAAGTACAATTTCAGGCCCTGAATGTCCTTGTTACCTACTATTATAAAGAATAACGAATGACAAGGGCAATAGTAATCTTGTTACTTATACTTTTGAAACTGTTTACAAAGTAAAATCTTAATAAATATTTTTAATAATAAATAATTAAAGAAAAAAATAAAAATATAAATTAAATTTGACTCTAAGCCTTAACGTAAATTATAGTTTGACTAAAGATAGTTTTTTTTTCACCAAAGCATTTGACGATTTAATTAAAGTAAAAATATTAAAATAAAACGCCTTTTGCTATGTCATAAAAATATTCGCCTTTTTGACAAAAATTTGAGAGATTACTAATAATAATAATTATAACACAATGTTAATATTAATCCCAATGTTCAAATCAAAATCAAAAGAAAGTTATTGTATTTTGATGTACATAGTAAATCATTTAATATATATTTTTCCTATATATGGTTTAGTAAAATGTGATTCTACCCTAATTTGATAGAGATCTTTAAAAAAACTAATTAAACTAATTAATCTATGTAATATTTATTTTTACACACAGTAAAATCGCATAAATAATGCTTTCAGAAAATTTAAATCAAAAAAAAAAAAATTTTAAATAATATTTTTCAAATTAAGAAAAAAATTGATTTTTTTTTTAATTAATCATTCTTTAATCATTAATTTACTTTCAAAGATCAAAAATGAGCAATAACGGTAAACACACAATTAATCGAGTTTTAAATCCTCGTATTTATAATCCGTACAAAAATCGTAAAACAAACTTATTTAGAATAAAAGGTTCAGTTCTACCAAATGTTATTGGTTCCTCGATATTCATAACAGCATTTACTACTATCATCGTTGTTCTCTTTGAACAAACTCCCGTAAAACTCAATATTCCAGTCACTTTAATCACTGTCATTGGTCTGGTGGTTGGTCTATTGCTTACCTACAGAACCAATACCGCATATGATAGGTAATTATCGAAAACACTTATGATATAATTTTAGCTCTTTTTAGGCAATTTTTTTGTTTTTTTTTTGCTTGCAATTTAATCATGATCTAACATATGGATTGATTGGTAATTAATTCACCTCCCACCCCCATAATAGGTATTGGGAAGGACGTAGATTATGGTCTACTATGGTGACGACAATACGTAATTTCACAAGATTTATTTGGGTACATGTAGAAGACAAAAATTCTACTCGGATAATCTTGGAGAAAAGGACCGCAATTAACCTTCTGGTAGGGTTTGCTGTTGCGACAAAACATTATTTACGTGAAGAAGACGGTTGTGCATACGATGATATCCGGCCATTAATCTCCAATGTTCATTCTAAACTACCTGGATTCACTCCGATCGTAAAGGCACACGATGATAATAATAATAACAAACAGTCAACTTTATGGGATCAATTATTTCACCGAACAAAGAAACCACATTTGACAAACGATAAAGAAATGGCATTTGTAAATCACAACTTACCATTGGAAATCACTCTCTACCTATCATCGTATGTCCATAACAATTTTTCTAAAGATAGGATTAGTGCTCCGGTAGCAACAAACATGTTGAATAGTATTAACATTATGGTGGATTGTTTATCACATTTTGAACGTATTCTACGTAGCCCAATACCTTTAGCATATTCAATCCATCTGTCTCAAACTGTTTGGATTTATTGTCTATCGTTGCCTTTTCAATTGGTGGGCCAGGCGCATTGGGCTACCATTCCTATTGTTTTCTTTGGTTCTGTAATTTTACTGGGTATTGAAAGAATAGGCGCCGAAATTGAGAATCCTTTTGGTTATGATGAGAATGATTTGCCATTAGATGATTTTTGTGGGTAAGTAAAAAAAAAAAAAAAAAAAAAGGTCATGGAGGCAAGGAAAATATTTAATAATAATAATAATAATAACAATAATAATGATGATGATTTATTTTTTTTTCAGAATCATTAAACAGGAACTTGACACAATTACAAGCCATCCGGTTCCAACCATGGATGATTGGATATTCAACAAGGAAAATCATTCATTTGAAAACCAAGACATTAATGCTTTGGAAGCAAAGAAATTCTCATTGGATGAAGTTAGATCTTTATTGTTAGTAAACAATGAGGATCAACAACAAATTAATAATACTTCAAATCAAGATTCTGTTGTGGATTTTTCTAATAGTGATAATAATAAGCGTGATAATAATAAGTGTGATAATAATAATAGTGTTAATAATAATAGTGTTAATAATAATAGTGATAATAGTAGTAGTAGTAATAATGATTTAAACGTGTAATTAGATTTATTTTAGAAAAAAAAAAAGATAGAAAAAAAACATCATTATAGAACATATAAGGTTTGGGAAAGTTATTGGAAATAGTGTAAATAAAAACTCCTTATTTTTCAATTAACTGGTGCAAATCACGTGTATTAATTTGAGTTCTTTGAGATTAGGAACCTGTAAATTCCCTGTTATTGGAAAAAGTTTTCCTAGTTTTGTCAATTTTGTAATTGTGTTATCGTCAATAAAAATAACAAAGCCAAGCATGACTTTCCTTTATCCACTCTCAGTGGTATGGTTTATGAGTAACTGCTTTTTTGGGAGGGAGAATAACTTCAATAAGAAATTCTTTGCAAATTTCTTGATTTTCTTGAGTTACCAGCAGAGAGGTTTTATTTGACCTTTAGAAAAGCAGTTAAAATAGTTAATTCCTTGATTTTAAATCTTCTCTTAAAGATAGTAGTAGTTTCTCTTGATCAGTCATAAAAAGATGACCTGTTATTTCATTTTTCTTTCTAATGTTCCACCACTAACTAAGCCTCTCAATATTCTTCTCATCTGGATCTATGTAAGGATCGCTTCATCAATCGGTATTTATTTAATGCTGTAACCATTGGTGTTGAAAAGGTAACAATGTTGACTTTTCCCCAAATTTCTCGAGTAGCTTCTAAAGAACATTCTTTTTTTCATCTCCCAAAGTAAAAAAAAGCTTAGTAGGCTGCAAACATTCATCCAAATCACAGGTCATTTTTAGTTCCCTCCCATTCTTTTGCATCTGCTCTTTGATGAAATCGAATTGATGATCAGCAAAAATATTTATACATATTAATATATATGTAATAATTGTTGCCCGTGATAATCGAATTGGTTTGCCTTTTTATCATAATGACCAATAAGAGGTGACACAAGCGACTGAAAGGTATGGACTCTGGACTGCTCAATTTGATAAATATATCGGAAGAAATGATGGACAATTATAAATTTACATTATTCACAAAATAATTAATTTGTTTTCAGATTCGCCTCTGTAGAATTTGAGGATAAGAGGAATACAATAAGAGATGAAAAATCCAGAATTCAAGACAGATAAATGGTGTGTGTAAGATTGGGAAAGATGAAGATCGTTTAGAGAAAGATGCATTCCTTCATAATATGATTATTATTAGATAATAAACAGCGACATAATTTCAATATTGCAACTTTATGGGAATATCTGTTAAGAATATCAAAATATCAATTAATTGTTTATTAATAGAAGATAAAGATTTCCTGGTGGGAAATAACATTAAATTAAAATTTGAATTATTAAAGAAACCGTTATGTTAAATTTACAAACGATTTAGATATTAAAATTTGGATATGCTAATGGTAACTTTAGTTGGTTAGACATAAATCTTTACAGGAATGAAGATTATTATCATTCCTTTAACTATCAAAAAGCTTAGAAATGTTCATTGGGATCATTATAGATTTTCAAAATATTATAAATTGGATTGACGAAGATAAAACAATTCAGGCAAAGACTCTTACTTCCTCAAATGATGAAAGTCTATTTATATATTTGTAAATATCCAGCAAATGTTTTCTCGGGGATTTTTTCTAGAGTAATATATATATAGGGAGCTCGGATGGAGATTATGAGGAGCTTAGAAAAAACAAAAACTATTGGAAGAACAATATTGACAAGTCATAATCATAGTCATAATCGAGTATTTAAATTATCAGCAGCCAACATCTTGCATTGGTTTTGGACAATTAGTATCTTTAAATCCATCCCTTACAAAATAGGCGAATATTGTTGTAAGGGTATTCTTGATATTCGATATTTGAGATCCATGAGTAGCGGATATCGACATTGGAATGACAAGGCCTTAATATCTTTTATTATCTTGGAAACCTTGGTTTTTCTAGCTTTAATAAATTCATAAAAGGAACCATTAGCAACCTCTTAAACTTCACAATACCAGGATTTCAAGTCTCAAAAAAAAAAATGTTGGAATGAATAAACAAAACTGCTATCACATGATCGTGACCACGTGCAGGCTACTAAAAATAATAAAGTCAATTTATTATTTATAAAATAATAATACAAAAAAAATCATTTTTAAAATTATACATGAAATAAAAAAAAAAAAATTACATAATAAAAAATACAAAAGCTATTAATTGATTCAAAGTTTCAATTCGAACTCAATAGGATAATGATCCGAGACACGTTTTGTGGCTCTTTTTAATAATTGTTGATCTATTTTGCCATTGTCCCAATTATCATCAAATCTCCATACCTTTGAATTTCCTATCCACATTTTTTCATTTGCAGCTTCAAAAATAAATCGATCATATGCCGCATCATTTCCATCAGAAACTGTGGTATCTGTTTCATGTGAAATACCCCAAACTAAATTATTGTCAAGTAATTTTTCATCTATGATTGCACGTTGTGATTTGTTAAGATATGAACCAGATGCATTTAAATCACCCATTAAAACTATTGGCTCGCCAGATCCTTCTGCTGATTGCACATTTTTCCCAGAATGTTCTCTTTTTGTCGATTCTTTTTTCCTTGAACCAAAGCAAGAACAAAGGTAGCGAAGAATAAATGACCCTTTATATTCTTCACCATCATTACTATCATTATTCTTCTTTGATGCTTTTTTCACATTTCTTTTACGAATTGTCCCTCCTTCTAATCGTTTTTTAACATCTGGATAGACTTGTTCAACCAAAACGTCAATTTCATCGAATGCCTTTTCTGGTTGAGTATGACATCCAACAAGAGTTATTCTTACATCTGGTTTCCTCAAATTCTGAAATCTTACAACATATGGTTCTCTTGAAAATTTATCACCTAATTTCACGTCATCAACAACGTAATCTTCCAACACTTTCCATTCATTTTGACGATAAATAAAAAGATATCTCTCTTGATATGTGTTTCTACCTATAGGATGACTTGCTATATAATTATAAGGCGTGGAAGATGTTGATATTGAGTCAACAAGTCTTTTGATTAATTCGTCTGTTAATCGAATTTCTTGGCAAAGTACAATATCATATGCCTTCAGAATATCTACGATAATACGCATGACTGCACTGTTTGAAGATTTTTTCTTACCAAACGCTTGTATATTCATTGATCCAATTAGGCTTTTCTTTTTATCAGGTACATGATGTGATGAAGATGATGGTAATGGAAGTGACATCAATAATTCATCATCTTCAAGAAGCTCTTTCTTTTTTTGGCTTTTTTTACGAGCATGTGTTGGTGGTGCCAATAAATTTTCTTTGTTCTCCGATGATGGTATTTGTAATGATAAAGAAGCTTTTCTAAAAATCTTTACTACTTTCTTAGTAGGATTTCTAATAACAATTTTTGGTACTACTTTATACGCTGAATTTTTATCTTTATTATTTTTATCAGCAACAAGTGTATTTTGACGCCTTGGTCTTTTTTTTTTTGTGGGAGGTTTTTTTGATGAAGAAGGTTGATTTTTCTTTGATGAATTGCTTTGAATTGAATTGTTGGAGTTTTCGGAATTGACAGAATTAAGTGAAGGATTTTTCTTGGAAATTTCATTCAACGGTTTTTTCCTCCTCCTATTGGTACGAGTCTCATGTTTTTCATCTATTTTTGGTTCATTGACTTCATCTTCACTTTCTGAAGGTGAATACTCTTCATCTTCTTTTCTACGAGCTGTAGGCATGTTTAAAATTTTTTAAAATATTAAAAAAAAAATGGAATATTTTTTCAGTCCCAAAAATAATGTCAAATGTTTTGTTATACAATGTTGAAGCAAGTGTAACGTAAATAATACCAAAACTTTCTATAACCGTATTTCAAATTTCTAATAATAAACCTTCTTGATTACTGGATTAGGATTTAATCATCATTCCTCCTCATTCGTTAATATTATTAACATTCTAAAAAAAAAAAGTAAACTTTTGATTAAACATTAGCATTAATTAATTGGTAACAGGCTACATATACACTTTTGCAAACATAATTCGTAAAACTTTGAGTTGGAGAGGAGGTGTGAACGATCAATCAAAAAAGGAACTAGAAAATTGAATTGAAGGATTTTAGGTCTTGGTCAAATAACACTTTTCAAACACGGCGAAGAAATGGACTTCAATCATTGATAGGAACTTTGTAAAATGTCTCCACGAGTCCTTTTAAAAGTACCCGATATCCAGGTTTACTTGCTTATATTTGAGGGAATTTTGGTGTACTGTTTGTGACGTTTACCAACTTGTGCATTTTTTTTGTTTAATAAATCAGGCGAGTTTCTTGGTAGTTTGTTAAAAGATACTAACTAATATAACCAATATGAAACTTGTGAATTACTCTTTTTACTTTGTCTTTTTTTCCCTCCATAACATTATTGTTTTTTTTACTTTGCTTTTGAATATCCTCAGACCTACACTATGTTCCTCGATTAACTTGGACTTTTTACCCTATACGTCCCTCACTCTTGTAGCACAAGGTAAGCATTGTAACTTGTTATTTCATCAGTTGTGTCTTTTTGTGAGGGATGTTACTACTAAATAATCATAGTGCAATAAACATATGAAATTTCATTTTACCATCTGCACGTTTGAGAAGACAAAGTACACACACTTGAAATAATCCTATTATGTTGCAGTAATCAAAGTATGATTTGTTTATTATTATTTGTTTGAATTTTAATACGCAGGATGCAAATCTTTCATAATTTAAATGAAAATTAACAACCTTATAAAGTTAGTTTGCTAATTACTAATAAAATCTAATAAATTCATTCACCAATGATAGATAATATTTAGACTCTTGCTTGATTTGTATAAGCACTAAAAGCATCGTAATATCCAGAAATACTACTAACAGAACGCTATTATCAGTTAGTAGAAATTATATAGTGAAAAAATTGATATAAAATAACACGACTACACTCAAAAATTTGAAAAAAAAACCAATAGCTCTAATAAAAAGAAAGAAAAACAATCATCAATAAAGTTCAGATGAGCGTGAATTACAAGAGGTCGGCAAAAACAATATAATTGTTGTAATTATTATTATTATTATTATTATTATAAAAAGAACACTAGATTATTTTAATACGCTGTCAAACGGAAAAAAGATGTGAAAAGACAATCAACTCCAACTTGGCCATTCCTGCAATCTTATAAATTATATTTATTTAATATAAATGATTCTGCAGCAATGTTACCAAGTTTTTTGGTTTTTCTTTTGCACTAACAAATGTATTGTAACGACAAAGCTAAAAAAAAATAGTTATCAATTAATCAATCAAACGATCAATTTAATTATTTACATTATACAAAAATCGTAAAACAAACTTATTTAGAATAAAAGGTTCAGTTCTACCAAATGTTATTGGTTCCTCGATATTCATAACAGCATTTACTACTATCATCGTTGTTCTCTTTGAACAAACTCCCGTAAAACTCAATATTCCAGTCACTTTAATCACTGTCATTGGTCTGGTGGTTGGTCTATTGCTTACCTACAGAACCAATACCGCATATGATAGGTAATTATCGAAAACACTTATGATATAATTTTAGCTCTTTTTAGGCAATTTTTTTGTTTTTTTTTTGCTTGCAATTTAATCATGATCTAACATATGGATTGATTGGTAATTAATTCACCTACAAAAATCGTAAAACAAACTTATTTAGAATAAAAGGTTCAGTTCTACCAAATGTTATTGGTTCCTCGATATTCATAACAGCATTTACTACTATCATCGTTGTTCTCTTTGAACAAACTCCCGTAAAACTCAATATTCCAGTCACTTTAATCACTGTCATTGGTCTGGTGGTTGGTCTATTGCTTACCTACAGAACCAATACCGCATATGATAGGTAATTATCGAAAACACTTATGATATAATTTTAGCTCTTTTTAGGCAATTTTTTTGTTTTTTTTTTGCTTGCAATTTAATCATGATCTAACATATGGATTGATTGGTAATTAATTCACCTCCCACCCCCATAATAGGTATTGGGAAGGACGTAGATTATGGTCTACTATGGTGACGACAATACGTAATTTCACAAGATTTATTTGGGTACATGTAGAAGACAAAAATTCTACTCGGATAATCTTGGAGAAAAGGACCGCAATTAACCTTCTGGTAGGGTTTGCTGTTGCGACAAAACATTATTTACGTGAAGAAGACGGTTGTGCATACGATGATATCCGGCCATTAATCTCCAATGTTCATTCTAAACTACCTGGATTCACTCCGATCGTAAAGGCACACGATGATAATAATAATAACAAACAGTCAACTTTATGGGATCAATTATTTCACCGAACAAAGAAACCACATTTGACAAACGATAAAGAAATGGCATTTGTAAATCACAACTTACCATTGGAAATCACTCTCTACCTATCATCGTATGTCCATAACAATTTTTCTAAAGATAGGATTAGTGCTCCGGTAGCAACAAACATGTTGAATAGTATTAACATTATGGTGGATTGTTTATCACATTTTGAACGTATTCTACGTAGCCCAATACCTTTAGCATATTCAATCCATCTGTCTCAAACTGTTTGGATTTATTGTCTATCGTTGCCTTTTCAATTGGTGGGCCAGGCGCATTGGGCTACCATTCCTATTGTTTTCTTTGGTTCTGTAATTTTACTGGGTATTGAAAGAATAGGCGCCGAAATTGAGAATCCTTTTGGTTATGATGAGAATGATTTGCCATTAGATGATTTTTGTGGGTAAGTAAAAAAAAAAAAAAAAAAAAAGGTCATGGAGGCAAGGAAAATATTTAATAATAATAATAATAATAACAATAATAATGATGATGATTTATTTTTTTTTCAGAATCATTAAACAGGAACTTGACACAATTACAAGCCATCCGGTTCCAACCATGGATGATTGGATATTCAACAAGGAAAATCATTCATTTGAAAACCAAGACATTAATGCTTTGGAAGCAAAGAAATTCTCATTGGATGAAGTTAGATCTTTATTGTTAGTAAACAATGAGGATCAACAACAAATTAATAATACTTCAAATCAAGATTCTGTTGTGGATTTTTCTAATAGTGATAATAATAAGCGTGATAATAATAAGTGTGATAATAATAATAGTGTTAATAATAATAGTGTTAATAATAATAGTGATAATAGTAGTAGTAGTAATAATGATTTAAACGTGTAATTAGATTTATTTTAGAAAAAAAAAAAGATAGAAAAAAAACATCATTATAGAACATATAAGGTTTGGGAAAGTTATTGGAAATAGTGTAAATAAAAACTCCTTATTTTTCAATTAACTGGTGCAAATCACGTGTATTAATTTGAGTTCTTTGAGATTAGGAACCTGTAAATTCCCTGTTATTGGAAAAAGTTTTCCTAGTTTTGTCAATTTTGTAATTGTGTTATCGTCAATAAAAATAACAAAGCCAAGCATGACTTTCCTTTATCCACTCTCAGTGGTATGGTTTATGAGTAACTGCTTTTTTGGGAGGGAGAATAACTTCAATAAGAAATTCTTTGCAAATTTCTTGATTTTCTTGAGTTACCAGCAGAGAGGTTTTATTTGACCTTTAGAAAAGCAGTTAAAATAGTTAATTCCTTGATTTTAAATCTTCTCTTAAAGATAGTAGTAGTTTCTCTTGATCAGTCATAAAAAGATGACCTGTTATTTCATTTTTCTTTCTAATGTTCCACCACTAACTAAGCCTCTCAATATTCTTCTCATCTGGATCTATGTAAGGATCGCTTCATCAATCGGTATTTATTTAATGCTGTAACCATTGGTGTTGAAAAGGTAACAATGTTGACTTTTCCCCAAATTTCTCGAGTAGCTTCTAAAGAACATTCTTTTTTTCATCTCCCAAAGTAAAAAAAAGCTTAGTAGGCTGCAAACATTCATCCAAATCACAGGTCATTTTTAGTTCCCTCCCATTCTTTTGCATCTGCTCTTTGATGAAATCGAATTGATGATCAGCAAAAATATTTATACATATTAATATATATGTAATAATTGTTGCCCGTGATAATCGAATTGGTTTGCCTTTTTATCATAATGACCAATAAGAGGTGACACAAGCGACTGAAAGGTATGGACTCTGGACTGCTCAATTTGATAAATATATCGGAAGAAATGATGGACAATTATAAATTTACATTATTCACAAAATAATTAATTTGTTTTCAGATTCGCCTCTGTAGAATTTGAGGATAAGAGGAATACAATAAGAGATGAAAAATCCAGAATTCAAGACAGATAAATGGTGTGTGTAAGATTGGGAAAGATGAAGATCGTTTAGAGAAAGATGCATTCCTTCATAATATGATTATTATTAGATAATAAACAGCGACATAATTTCAATATTGCAACTTTATGGGAATATCTGTTAAGAATATCAAAATATCAATTAATTGTTTATTAATAGAAGATAAAGATTTCCTGGTGGGAAATAACATTAAATTAAAATTTGAATTATTAAAGAAACCGTTATGTTAAATTTACAAACGATTTAGATATTAAAATTTGGATATGCTAATGGTAACTTTAGTTGGTTAGACATAAATCTTTACAGGAATGAAGATTATTATCATTCCTTTAACTATCAAAAAGCTTAGAAATGTTCATTGGGATCATTATAGATTTTCAAAATATTATAAATTGGATTGACGAAGATAAAACAATTCAGGCAAAGACTCTTACT